CATACGATACAACTCTGAATTATCTTCATGTCATTATCCCTTCTTACAAAATATCTTAGTTTTGTTATTTTGAATAATTTTTTCATAATGAATCTGATTTGAATATTGAAAATATTCATATCCAAACAACTTTATTACTGTATTTCTTAAGATGACAAAACCATACCTTGTAAAAATGTTTATTTTTTTAAACTTACGATATGTCTGTTGTTATGATAAACATTTTCAATCAAGAGATTTAACTTTGTAAATCTTTTAATAATAAATATCATCTCATTTCATTCAATGACTCATTTGTATTAATTGATCAAGTCACTGTACTTATTGATAAAGAATTTAGTTATGAAAAAAAAAACACTTTTAAACACTTAACTACCATTAAAGTTGAATTTTAACGTTATAAGACATTATAAAGGATCTAAAATCAATTAATGAAAATGGAAGTTTATTTATTATATTTATGAAAATATTGATTGAGTAGCTAATAAAAATATTTTTTTTATGAAAGAACTAACCTATACCGAATAACCAGTTTTTGTTTCTTTTGCTTTGATATCTACTACTGTGATTGTTCTTAATTGTCTTTAAAAAATAGCAACTAGGAATATATATTAACCTAATTTATGATGAAACAAACTTTGCCTTTAAAAATAACTTCAACTTATTTCCTTATGAAACACTTATTTCTTTCTCATATTTTGATATAAGTTTAATTACAACTACTTATAACAAAAATTTAATGACACGAGATGATAACTAACCTTATACTATGAAATAATATATCTTCAAAATAAGAAATAAAAGAAACATATATTATAGATGTTAATATTGTGTAGAATGAAAGTGTAATAAACAAGTATTTGAATAAATTAAGTAAATACAAAGAATAAAAAAATATAAAGCATACAAAGATAAAACATGTAAAAACCTTTCCAGTGTGATAAGTGTTGATTGACTTATTCATAAATTATTGATAAAAATTAAAAGAAATATAAGTTGAATTTAAACATATATAATAACAGTTAAAGATAAGCAATTGAAAGATGTTATGAAGTAATTGTATAATAGTGATAATTTTAATGATGTAACTTCATAACCAAACAACAACACACAAATCAAATAACATAAAGAATGATAATGTAAATTTTCAATAATTATAATCAAATAACATTTCAGAGCAATAAAACCATAAATACACAAGTGAATATCATTAATTAGATACTTTTATTGTTATATTTGAGTTATAAAAGTCTCTAACAAACTAAATAAATTTTACTGAAACTCCTTGTCTCTTTTTAATTTATTTATTATTAAAATGAACATAAACATTTATGAACTTACTACTCTCCTTTTTTTAACTTTGACTGTCCTTATAACTAATTATCCCCTTAACTAATCATTCAAATTATTTTAATTTAATACAAAATTTATTATAACTAATATCTTATCAATTTTATCTCACTAACCACGTTGTTTTTATTTAATATTTTTAAGATTCACAAGTTTTTGAATAAATTTCGTATAAACGATTTAATAAGAGTATTTATAACAGTCAATCCTTTTTTTCTGTTCTGCCCTTTACTCTTTCTCATACCTTTTTAATGTCCAATTCTTAAGTAAACTTTTATATTAAGACATTTCTTATATAAACCAATTGTTCATATATTCTCTTATTCGATTTTTTAAATCTATAACTCTCTTGTCTTAGTCTTCCATTAGCATTTTAACCATAGACAATCCTGTTGCCTAAGTTTTTCTTGAATATTTCTTTGAGACATACATTTTGCTATGTTTGTAGAAAAATACATTTTGAACGATTATTTTTTCTTGACTTTCTTATTCCGTTGAACCTTTTCAACAGACATACTACATCTATTTTGTCTTTGTTTCTTATCTGTTTTTACCAAAAAGATATTTTAATTGAAATAAACTCATGACATTATTTTCAAGTTGGTTTTTATACAAACAATGTTTAATTTTATATCTTTTAGTGGTTCAATAATACTATACCACTCTCATTGAATTTGATATTACTTTGTGTGACTCACTAATAAACACTGATTATTTTATTTTCATAAATACATTTTCTTGATGCTCTAAAAGGTA